TGATGTACACATTCCGCACGAAGGGAGGTCAAAATTTAAGAACAAAACTGGGCTCGACCTTTTTAGAGCAGCCGACTGCTATCTGGGCGTCGGGACAACGGGGTGCAGTGACCACTAGGTGTAGGACATTGTTTGCTCGCCTCCCGGAATTAGTTTTGGATTAAAAAATCTTGCATAGATCATCTTTAAAACTTCAGCATAACTTGGCAACGTGTATTTGAATACTACTACTAATCATTGGAAAAACTCTGTATAAGGTTTTTCTAAAATAATATCCATAGGGCGCAAAACTCATTTAGCAGTTCCGTCGATGTACGAAATGTACTCCTCTTGTGTACCGATTTAATGAGTTGGCACAATTTTGGCCACCTCTTAAAATAGTGACTACGCACATGGACAAACAACAACCCAGAACCGTGAAAAATCGTTTATAATAATGGGTGCGTTCACCATAACCATTGAATAAAAACACTATTTTATTCAATGCCATAACCAAACATGTTTGCGCTTTGATTACGTTTGCAAACACAAACTGTTTAGGCGCAGGTGAACGATAGGGTGCGTTTGCCAGAACCAACTGTTTGCAAACCGTTTGCGCTTTTTCGATAATTACGTTTACTGAACGCGTTGCTAGTTGTTAAACTGTTTGCAAGCGGACGCCATTTTTTGAATCGCAATTTAAACTCGCTGAAAATCACAAACATGTTTGTAATTTTGTAAGGCATGCATATTTGTTTAAACCATCGGCATATAGGTTTATGCGCGAAATTGGAGTAGGTAAATTACTAGTACCTATACATCATGACCAAAAATTGGATATAAATCGAATAATTTAATTATGAATGAAAAAGGGAGCATTCCATGTATGCAGGCTTATTCAAATTCGAGGGCTACCATGGGGATCTCGGGAACTGTAACAAATAGAGGTTGGCAAAGTTGGGTAGTTTGATACTTAACAAAATATCGTTTTGAAACTAAAAAAATTCCGACTACTTTCGGAGATATCCAGAAAAAAAATGACATTTTACAAAATCGTTTTTATTTGTTACCTAAGTTATTTAAAAAGATATTTCAAAATAAACGGCGCATAATTGTGACCACTTTTTTCCATATACAAGATGCTAGTTTTAAATTTTTAGTCTGACGTTTCGTCTCCGGTTAACCATCATCAGCTTTGTTTTTTCTTATGGAAGTCATTTTTACTTTTTGTGTCATTTGATAGAGCTTTTTCCTATCAATAAATGGTGCTGTTAATCCGTAAAAACGCAAGAAACTGCGAACGTACACTGCCCACGACAAAGTTGCCAGACAAAAAAAGAAGATATTTTAACAGTATTACTTCAGTCTCCCTTTGACGAATGTCAAATTTGAAATACTCGGCGAGTAATAACTTTGTAGTGAAATCGTTCCACACCAAACTTCTCTTCGAATCTAATTAGGGTACATTATTCGTATACTAATAATTAACACAAGTATCTCTATAACCTATAACTGATACTGGCTGAGTGCTCTCGATTTCATTTGGACTTGTACCCCTTCATATGCGGTTTATGAAGGCTCCAAAACGGCATGAACGATTTGCTCGTCTCCTAGTAGATTGCTGGCCATCTAGGCGCGGTTCCCACTGCAGCGATGCGATAAGCGATGCAACATGAGCAATCTTTTATCGCCCGATGCAGATCGGGTTGCTTATCGAATCGCCTGTTGCATCGCTTATCGTATCGCTCCAGTGGGAACCGCGCCAAACCCTGCCTTGCAACACTATAACCACAGATATACGTCGTATATCTGTGCTTTAACTATACGTTTTTCACCTATACAAATCTTAACTCTTTCCTTAAAATGACTATACTTATGTGGTGAGTTTATTAAATTTATTAAATGTAACAATCTGAAAATAAAAACTTCTCATAAAGCAGGTACAATTTATGGAAAAAAAATATTTACTCAAGGATCCAGTGAATATGCATTTAATACTCCAATCTTGATTTTCTATAGGACAATTCAATTCATCTCGTATAGCAGGATGTATTTAAACTGTAAAAAGGTTGCCATATTTTTATTGAAATGTACAAAAAGAATACAAAACGGTTTTCTCAAAATTCACTCAAATTAAATTTGACGTGTGGTTTCCAGGCAAATTGCGCGCTTAGAACAAATGCGCATGCCCGATCAACATGTTTGTGATTTTCAGCGAGTTATGATTAAAAAAATGGCGACCGCTTGCAAACAGTTTGACAATTAGCAATGCGTTCAGTAAATATGCTTATATAAAAAGCGCAAACGGTTTGCAAACAGTTGGTTCTGGTGAACGCACCCAATGTTCTTACTGCGGTTCCTACGCACGCAACGGTCCCAATGCCCAGTTGTCCCCGCGCCCAGTTGTCTGGCTGGATTCGTGGTGAGAGAGTACTGAGGTTCGTTTATACAGGGTGTTACATATAAGTATGAAAACAAATGTGGGTCGTAGAGGGGATCAAAACAAGCACTTTTTCCAAATAAACTTAGGATCGTTGCCTTCGGATCAGAAACTATCCCCTGCCTACTAGTGAGTCATATAATTCCGCATGGTTAACAATTTAAGTCGATATTATGATTAAATTATATCAAAAAATTCAATATGTCGATCATGGTATTGAAGTCGACAAATTCGATTCCAAGAAGATGCAGATTGTAGGTACGTGACAATGTGACATGCGGGTGATGAGAAAATGATATTTAAGTAGAGTTCGATAACAATAAATATGCATTATTCAAATTATCACAACATCGACTTATTTTTTTGTTATTTGTGACATTTTCAACGAACTACATGAACTACATGCCAAATTAGATGACGCACTAGTATGCGGGGGATACTTTTTTCTCCTTCCTTTCAAACGAGTATAACTTTTGTTTGAAAAGTGATTAAAAAAAAAGTGTTTGACAGTTTTGTTCCTTAACCGATCAAATATGTACACAACAAATTTCGTAAGAAAAATTCTCTCCATTTTATATAGTTGCGCGGTCAAGAATTGCAGTGGAATTCTCGAATCTTCAAAAACTAATTCCAGATTCGTGATTTTCATGTTCAAAAACCCCCCGATACAATTTTTTCGCGCCCCCCCCCCCCTCCACATTTTTAAATATCCTTATGACGCATTTTAAAAGTGATACAGTATACACATGTAGAGCTTTTATCAAAAAATGGTACTCTTTATTTTAGCTACTGTTATGCTTTGTTTTATACGTTGGGGTAGTTATTCAGTAAAAAGCAAATCACGTAATGTGAATCATAAGTTATGTCACACAACTTGGTTGCACATGTAGTTTGTGCTTTTTTGCATTGTTTAGGTACGGATTTTAACAATAAGAATATGAATAGAGATACTAAGTAACCCTCGAGGTAACCAATTTTCCAATGTACAATATCGAATCGATATAGTACATCTACAGTAGAGTGCCTTTGTATTACAAACCTTCATAACTAGTTATATAAATTTAACAATTTACAAAGCTCTCTTCGATCGTTTAGATATTCTTTGTGCATGTTTACCCTTCTTCTTTGATTCAAAATATTTTTTAGTTTCGAAGAAACGAAAATGCCTTAAGTAAAACATTAGTTTGAACCGAATCGGTCCAAGCGTTTGACAGTTATCGTGTTCACGGAAAAACGGACACCATCAATTCCCCTATAAAGCTTCCATCGCTTTGCTCTAAACCGATACAACGCAACATCGAAGGATCCTCAGTATTATTATCATCAGTTTTTTGCTAGAGATAATACTTAACCAATAGGAGAAGAAAACTTCATAAACCCTGCGTCCCAGATGAAACGCATTATAAATAGGCAAACATAATTACTTATAATGTACTTTTTCGCGGATCTACGACGTTAGCGTTCAACGTAGGTACGTTATTGCGCTTGTCTAATTCTATAGAAACTGATTGGAGTAGTAGGTACCTTGACGCTAATTTCAAACACATCGTGAATCCTTCGCGAAAAAATACATTTTCGTTTCCCTATGGTGCGTTCTACCTACTTAAGACGCACTGTAGGTATATATCGTGCGGTATAGTAACAGTAAAATCAAAAATTATAGCTAGTCAATAATAATACCTACGAGTGAAAAGAAGTAACCAACAAAGTACCGATCTTCACATTTATTCGCATGTAGGTGGATAAGGTTACTTATATGTATCTTTTCCATGTAGATAATTGATAGTAAAGGGTAAGTATGCAAAACCTTTGACTTTGGAATACCTTAATAAAATATCTGCAAAGTGGTACGCAGTGGAACAAAATGGAGTTAGTGACCTATGAAAACATACTTTTCCAGGCCTTAGTAGATCAGATCACAGAATAAAGCCGATCAATATGTTAAGCGTCGACTTTAAAAATTTTCTCGAGACACGGAATCGACTTTTATAGGCATAACCTAATTTTCCTTCTTAAATTGGGGTTAAGACGAAAATAGATATTTTACTGCCTTGTGGCGACTGTATTTGAAAAATTAGAAAAAGAAGAAGTAGATACACCTATACCTATTTTGGTAGGTAGGTGAGAGTGTCGTATAAAATCAATGTAAATAGGTACCGATGCCTGTCTGCAACGACAGCAATAAAATAAGGGTTTTCTCCGGAATTAAAATCCCCTCTCTTTTGCGAACGGTTTCCTTGCCTATGAAAACGTGCTCTCTCGGACGATCAACACTTTCCGGTAACATCATATTTTGGCAACATTTCGCCGATTTCAGCAAGATGTAATATGTCGCATTTGCGTCGGACGTAGCGTACATTATTGCCAGAAACTCGGCAGACTCAGAATAAGAGCTGAAGTTTTCGACTGGACTTTCTTTCACTTGTCTCTCACTGTCCAAAATCACACTTTAGAATGTCGTATGGTGAAAACTTGATACCTACTGACTGAGCAATTATTATACCCAGAACACGGTTTGCGCGAACTTCAGGAATTTACAAGTTTTCAAAATTGCGAAGACACATTCTTGTGCGTAAATCTCCATTTTAACTATGGTTTGTCAATTTTGTTCGCAGTTATTTTTGTAACATTTTATTGCTTTAGACGGAAAATATCAGATTGGTTTCAGAAACTGTTCTATTTGTATATGTCCAGCTCTAAAATTTAGTAAAAACGTTCGCACAGTAGAAAATGTAGAAATAAGGTCAGTAATACTGCAAGGACCAGTCATAAAACACATTGTATAAGTTGGGTGGCACATTTACAATAAAACGACTTATACTTAATAATTTGGGAACGAAATGTGATATCACCATGCACTTTTCACTAAACATATGACACCGAGGGAAACACATTGAACGGTAACTTTAGTTCACTTTTCTCATTTTACCCACACCGCACCTTTCCTAAAGAGCGCCATACCACGTGTGTCATATTATAATGTTATACCTATGTTTAGTAAAAATCTTATGACGATATTACATGCCTGATCTAATCAATTATTAAGGATTGATCGTTTAAAATGCCCCATCCTCTATAGTACACATATGTATAGGTAGTCAGCTTGCATATATTATAGTACGTTAGGTATTGCTTTTCAGTACCTATCTCTTTGTCTTTCTTAACAGAGAAATGTCACATTCACAAAATCTACCGAATGGGCCTTCACAAGAAGTACCGGACAATAAAAATATCTACGAGTTGGTAAGAAAAACATTGAGAGTATATAATTGGGTTAGTGAAGTATTGATATTCAAATAATAGAAAATGAAAGTTATTGAAACAACTTTCCCCATTTGGTTTTTCGAGCCAGGCACCATCAGAATAACGATAACCCTGTTGTGTGACATGCCATTCTTAAATTCTCAAATAGCTGTTTTAAAGATATTATTGCTTAATTGTATAGACAATTTAGGGTTAACTTTAAATGCCCAATTATAACATTTACTTACATTACATTTTCGACGGATATTGAAAGTGTATTTCGTATTAGGCGAATGTGCCGGAAAGGGTTAGTCAGTTTGAGCAGCCAAGCGCACCGCAACAAGTAGATGGAAATGTTCGGCCGTTATTAACTCGAATAGACAGTAGAGTTAACTTAAATGTGCGTCTAGGCTTTCCGAATCCACTCCTTAGGCCACAACTGTCAAGGCCACCTCCACCGGGAGGAACCCCGTTCGTTCAACGTCCTTTAATACAACAACAACGTCCTCCGCTGGCTGCACAAAATTTATATCCAAGACAGCCAGTTTCACATAACATCATACCAACTACCAGACCACAGATCACTCCCGGATTTAGGCCCACACCACCAAATTTCGGTAGACCCCCTTTATTAACTCCGAGACCGCAGAACATCTATCAGCAAAGATCGTTTCCTCTTCCAACAACAACAAGTAAACCGACACTTTCTAACAATTTAACAAAAAGTCAAACGCTGGATTCCTACGAATGTAATTCATCTCAAGAAGATAATGTGTCAGCAATTGAGGCAGCTAACAATGAAGAAGAAGAACAAACAGAGATCAACTTAAATGATGAATTTCAAAAAGACCAAAAAAGTTCAGTTGGGGATGTTGAAGATGAAAACCTCATTCCAGATTTATCCAGACAAATCGAGCAAAATCCACGACCCGAAACGCGGATGGAAGGACGGATGGACAACCAACCCCTTGCGAACAATTCGCGCGAAGAGCTAAACAAAGCAACCACAAATTTGCAGTCGAACCCACCTTCTCCTCAGCCTTACATGAGAAGAGCCCATGTTACGAGAACGCCATCACCAACACAGGAAAACCCAACGACTTCTTCGCCAAAACAATCTGCGTCAAAGAGAGCAGAAAAACCAAAGTCGCCCAATTTATTGAAAAATGATAGAAAATCTCCCGAAACTAAAACACGGTCTTCCTCAAAATTACGTCTTTATAAAGCAGGTTAATTTTAAAATTTTATTCATTTTGATCATGTGAGAATTAATTGAGGTTTTTGTTACAGAAGGAGATAATGACAGTGGAGTGGATGAGTCCACCCAAGGAAACGTAAGTATTCCTCTTCTCCTACCCATTGTAACGTTTTTAATTGAAATAACGTTAAACAGATTTATTCCATACAATGTTTTCTGGCGCTATTGCTATATTTATAACTTTCTCATTATTATAGGCACGATTCAGGAAGTCTGTTGAATGACCAAAGATGAAACTTTTTTTCAGGATTACATTACAATGGTCTAAAGACATTTTTTCAGAGAAAAAAACACTGCATCTGTTCATACACTCATAAACTCATAATTTTCCGTTTTTCAAAACCGTGGAAATCCACAAAATAAAAAGGTACATTTTACAATAAATCAGATATGTCTTGGAATTACCTAAAAAACAGCGACAACGTTTCATTATATGCTATGTTATTTAAACTATATATTTTATAAGAAATACCATAGTATATACGTAGGCGTTTTTTTCATTTAACGTCAAATTTTTAGTATAATTTAATGATCGATATTAATTTTAACTATCGCGAAATCGACTTATGTCTTTTGTTATTTTGAACATTTTCCAGTAACTATAGGTACATCATACATGCGAAGTGAATTTAGTTGGCTCACTATAGTAGGCTGGGGACACCCGTCTAGCTCGAAGGATAAACGAGCATAAGTCTTGTTTTAAAAGTACCTAGTTTAAAAAGAACAGTTCGATTTTGTTGGTTGCCTAGAAAAAACTTAAAACATAAAAGGAACATAAAGGGGAAATGCAAGCTTAACCATTTTTTTGAGGGTTGCTCCCAAACGTTGGGCCCTCGATTTATGTGGAAAAACAATATACAGGGTGGTGACTTGCGTAACGCATCATAGGGATTTCAATGTAAAATTCATAACATGCGATTATTGGCTCCCCAAATTATTTTAGAGCAAAAATGTATTAAGGTTTTTTGTAGGAAAAAATTTTTACGTCAATCAACCCTATTAGTTTTCAATTTTTTGCATAATAAAGACGGAAGATTGGAAAATAAAACCCCCATCTTTTTCACTAATCTGTGATGGCATGGAATTTTATAATACGAAAACTACGCCAATATCCGTCATGCCATGGAATGTCGGCTATGAAACAAATCAAATTCTATCAAAAAGTATTATATTTAGAACAGCGAATTCAACATAAAGAAAGACCAAATTACTAAAAACGGTTTCCTAATATAACAATTTACAATAAATGTTCGAATAAAAGCCGCCATTAACTGCAATACAGTAACCAAGTCGATCATAAAATCCATTTCGAACTGCTGCTAATTGATAACTGGATATCTTTTTGTTTTAGAAAATTCCATGGCATCGCAGATTATTGAAAAAGATGCGGGTTTTATTTTTCCAATTTTCCGTCTTTATTATGAAAAAAATTGAAAACTAATACGGTTGATTGGCGTAAATAAAATTTTTCTACAAAAACCTTAATACATTTTTGCTCTAAAATAATTTGGGGAGCCAATAATTGCATGTTATGAATTTTACATTGAAATCCCTATGATGCGTTACGCAAGTCACCACCCTGTATTTGTTTTGATCCCCTATATCACCCAATTTATTTTCTACATAATTTTTCTTATTGCGGAAAGGTGTTTTATTACATTGATTGAGATTTCGCTTGGCAAGAGGACATTGTTTTTTAGCTATTTTGTTTTCTATATTTGCTTATAGACATTGAATTGTTCCTGATTTGTCCATGCTTATGATTTATAAAGACGAAGTGGGAATATGATACTAAATATGTTTTTATTATTTATAGGATCACCTAAACAGCGAATATTCTACAGGTAAAAAATCATCGAAGAGTTCCACTCCACGTTCTGCAACAACACCCACAAAAAATAAATCTTTCACAAGAGTCGCAAAATCTCCAAATCCAAAAAGTCCAGAAACTCCCACGTCTACCGCCGATAAGAAAAGTATTTTCCTCGCGCCGAATATCAAATCATTAAATAACATTTTCTAGAAGTTCCTATGAACAAAATTCAAGTCGGTTCGGCTCCGTCTCCAAACTTAAAAGTAGTGAAATCGAAAATAGGATCTCTAGAAAATGCAACGCACAAACCGGGCGGAGGAAATATCAAAATCGAGAGTAAAAAGATAGATTTTTCAACAACATCATCAAGAGTTACGGCAAAAAATGACACTTATTTACCTGGAGGAGGTGATAAAAAGGTTGCGATAGTATCTTATTTATAACCGCATTGCGAATTTAATCAACTTTTATTTCAGATTCAGCAACAAAAACTGAATTGGAGTGCTAAATCGAAAGTGGGTTCTTTGGAGAATACAACTCATAAACCTAAAGGGGGCGATAAGAAAATAGATATTGTTAAGTTAGATTTTAAGGAAAACGCGAAATCAAAAGTTGGTTCCAAGGATAATATTAAACATGTACCCGGAGGAGGCGATGTTAAGGTAGGTAAATTATCACAGCTAGTAGTATCTCACTGAAAATATCCTCCTAAGTGTGTTTGAACGTGAACATGAAAACCCTTTGCAAATAATAGTTTCTGCAGAGATTTAGACAAAGTACAAGTTTCCTGATGGTCATTCTTTTGTTATGAGAGTAAACCAACAAAGGTACATTTGGAATGAAAACATTACTCACCATAATTTTCAAAATAAAGGCCGATTTATAAACTTTGTCGTCTGCGTTCGCGCTGGCAGTTCGTAGTTCACCGAAGATATTGACCATTGGAAAAAGAGTAGGTACCCATTTGGCGCGCAAATTAATGTCCTGTCAAATTGCTCGTTTTGGCTTGTGAAGCCAGTCTTTTATATATGCTCATTTATCATAAATCTTTCACAGAAATAATTCTTGTCCCTTGCATGAACAAACTGTAAACTAAAATAAGCTCTGCAACGACGGACGCGAACAGCGAACGCCAACGCGAACGTAAAGTTTATAAATCGGCCTTAACGATTATTTTATTGGTTTACATGTGTGTAGGTTATTCCTTTGAAATAAATGTACAAATTTAAAATTTTGATAATAATATGAGTAGGTACGTAATAAATTGCATCAAGTGAAACGGCAATTCGGTACTCACATGGCTAAAGGTACCTTATCCTTATCCTTATTCCCTTATTATGTACTCTTACCTTATAAACAGATATGTACCTGGGTACCTTATTCGATTTTTGAAAAATTATGAATAACAAGTCCAATCACTTTAATCATTTTGAAAGTAGTGGTTCGACTGATAAGTTGACTTTCGACAAAATTGGCATGATTTAAATATGATTATGAACGTTACTAATTGATAATTGGGACGGTAGAACGGAAGCAATTGTTCTCGCGTCGCGTCGCAATGGCTTCGCACCGTAATGGCTTTGCGCCGAAAGAGCTTCGCGTCAAAACGGCGACGCCGAAACGGCCCATTTCGTGCAGCGGTATTCAAAGAAGGTTAATTTACAGAGTGTAATTCAAAACCAGACCCAGACAATGAGACTATAACTAATGATTTGGAACAATTTACCCAATGATAAACGTAGGAAGACGAACGCTCACTTTTAATTCAATCGTCAAAATAAAACTTGAAGTTACCATGAACAATATTTGTTTGGGGAACAGAAATTAAGAGAAAATAAACGCACTTTACGCATTTATTAATAGCGTCGTATAGGATCTCAACCTTCCGTCTAATTTTGATAAGTTTACTGCAATAAAATCGATATACATATCTTCTCAGAGACTGAAGGTTTCATGTTAGCAATGCAAGATCCGGTTATATTAACACACGCAATTATAACAAACACACAACATAAAGACAAAACACTGACACATGGCATGATTATTGTCCACTTTGTTCACAAATCCCCGACAAATCAGAAACAGTCCAACGCATAATAGCGACAAAAATCTCCGTACATCTTTCATTCACATTAATAATTGAAATTTATCGCTTTGTTTAGTCTGAATCTGAACACAAACTGGAAGAAATTAGAAGAGATGTGAGTAAACATATTATGGTCACAAAAAATCACAATAAAATTTCTACTTTCACGTAGTCTACACAATTACGTAGGCAGAGACATTTGCACTTTGTATCTTTACTGCAACACTTGTTGGTTAGTTGCTATAAATATGTATTTTTTTAACAGATTGAAACAAAAAAAGTGGATATTAAAGTTCAAAGTAAAATTGGATCGTTGGATAACATAAAACACAAACCGGGGGGTGGAGATAAGAAAATATATGACGATAAAGGATATTTACGTCAAATGTCCGCCCATTCCAACGCTTCCTTGGACGGATCACAGGTACGTCTCTACTTCTACCCACCCTTATTATTAGGAACCAGATTCTGATTCTATATGCATTATTTTCAGAATGTTGATTACTTATATACATTCTATTAGTTTTCCATTCATACCATTTTATCGTAGGACAGTAAGGTAAAACAGTTAAGTGAGCGCAAAGTTTACTAACAACTTCTTTGTATTTGAGACTAAAAAGTAAACACTTGCCTAAACATTTTTCTGTACGCACTCAAACAACCAATTGTGCTTGTATGCAGAGCTGGGATGATTACTCAAAAAAAGTATTCAAATACCGATTACAAATTACTTTGTCATAAAAGTACTTATTTAATTACAGTAATTGATCACCTACTTCAGAGTTTGTATTCGATTACTGATTACAATTGCAATGTATTACCTAATTTAGTATTGTAATTACAATTACTTTTTTATTATACCTGAATCACCATCTCCGTTTTAAACACTCAAATGCGTGCGAAAAAAGGCCTTTAAAGGGGTAGTATACCCAAAGTCAAAAAAATTGTAGAAGAAAATCTAAGAACAAAATTTCAAACCGGAGTTTTCTACGATGAGTAGTTTTCAAATTATTAATGATGAAAGTTTGAAAGACAGAACATGTGACGTCATCCCGACATCGTGGGTGCGGCGGCAAGGATCCAAGCAGTCCAAACGTGTTAGTTCTTTCATATTCTAGTTCGCTTTCCTTTGAAAAAAACAAGAAAACCTTACTGAAGTATCATCCGAACATATATCCTCATATAAATTTCTATACCCAGCTCAGATTGGATACCTATGCTTTCAGTAAGCGGTATTGGTTTCATTTGATTCAGTTCTTCTGTTTGATTGTGGCATATGTTTGATGTTGAACTGGTTTCTCCACTACGAAGTTGATCGTTTATAAGCAATCAGACACAATCTTACTTTCTTAGATAAGTTGACTGAGGTTTGTATTAACACGTCAAACGTCATCGAATCCATATATTGCTAAAGCGCGCCACCGACCCATTTGTCGGGATGACGTCACAACGACCGTTTTTTACATTCGACACCTTACCATTTAATAACGAAACGGCGTAGCGACTTGCGGTTTTCACCGTTACTCTTAGATATTTTTAATCTATCTTTAGACGAAAACATGAAATTTGGGTATACTGCCCCTTTAAAACACACGTGCTTTAAAGTTGCTAAGTAACGATACTTCAAGTATGACTTTTGAAACTGTGATGTGGATGAAATAAAAAATGATCAAAGTCCTCGTGTGAGATCGAAGGGACTTCAGCGCATTTTTGTGTGGCAGATCAGTGTTTTATTAGCCAATATTGACTCCACCATCAATAAGATCTTGCCAAAAGCTACCACGTTCACTTTGTCGGTACCATTTTCTCACTTACCGTGCACTCGCAATTCGCGTTTGAAGTTTTGACTCCATCATTGTCGACACCCACTTCTGATCACCCGCAACAATTCGGATTTGAAGTTTCGACTCCACCATCAGTAAGATCTCGTCGGGGGTTACCACATTCCCTTTGTCGATACACAGTTCCGACGTCCCGTTCATTCGTAATTCACATTTTGGTAGATTTCGCTAAAATCCCGGCATAAAATCGTATTCAACTTTTGGGTACTTCACATAGCTCGACCTTCTATTAGTGACACGAGAAAGAGAGACCGCGATTCGCGCTGTAAGAAACTTTTGGGCGCCCAAAGTCGACTACCCCTCGAAGCGCGCCGCGCAAAAGGTGGTTTATTTCGCCCCTAGGAAAAAAAACAAAATTCCGCCACGCAGGAGTTGTGCGCGTTGACAAGATCTTCCCGACGACACCAATTTGAAAACAATCGGAGAAAAACTGTAGAAGAAGATAGATAAAAACTGAAAAATCTCCAGGTTAGTATAATACGCTCGGGGATGGCGTCCAGATGTCGTCGACTCCAAATCTTGTAGCCCCATCCCTAACGTTCTTAATTACACGGCCCCGATAGTTACATATACACTCCTTGTCTTTTTACAAGCGTTTTTCTACGGGCGCGCATTTACTGCCAGCCAGCCAGCCAGCCGACCAGCCAGCCAGCCAGCCAAAGTGAGATTAAAAGCTACTTTTTACAAAAAAAATTTTTTGCAAAAATGCGCTAAAAAAAATTTTTTGCAAAAATGCGCTAAAAATCCTCTTAGGTCGCTTTCTGTAAATGCAGAAAGAACATTTCTTTGGCTTTTGTAGGTACCTATCCTTTGGTTGAAGCTTTTACAAACGCGCATAATTTAGGGTATGCTTCTAAATCTGTTCCACTTTTTAGTCCCAGCAATAAGTGAAGTTTTGAATGAATGCACCAAAAGATAGAAGATTTAAATACCTTTGACATTTCCTTCATATATGCTAGCATTATCGATGCATTTAAGACTTTATTCGTAAGTAACTTCCTATTCATCCATGGAAACAACTTTTCATATTCTTTATAATAGGCTTTTTCTACAATCGATATCCAAAGTAGGCATTTGCGCTCGTATTTGACAACGCAAACGTCATCTTTTTCGAGGAATGTCACTTTGTCGCTTATAAGCGACAAAATAGAAAAAACGCTCGCTCTCCCAATTATTAACTATAAATCAAATATGCATTGCTCAGAGTATCCAATGACAACGAGTAAATGACATCTTTCATTTGGGCATAAGATTAAAATGATTTGAGTGAAAAATTGAAATATTTGGAAATATGTGAACTGCTCGATTGTAGAAAAAACCTTGTGTGTAATTCGAGCGCAAATTGATTGTCGATTTCAAGAGATTGCCGCGCTCCTTCGTCGCGCGTCAACTGTCTCTTTCAATCGACAATATATCATTTTGCGCTCTTAATACACAAATAGCTATTACTGGATTTGGATTTTACACCTACCAACGTTTGTTTAGATTTTACAAGCGATTTAATGGACGATGTAATGTATTATCTTTTTCAACGGAAATCGTTTTATTTACAAAGATGATGATGATTATAAGCAAACGTCAAGTAACATTTCCATGGCAATCGTGAAATTTCGAACACCCAGCCCACTTAATTAAACATGTATTCGAGTATAACGTCAATATGACTTCATTGTATTTCCTATTTTTAGATTATACTGCAGGTATAATAAAAAAATACTATAAGATACACGTGTATAATTGGTCTTTAAAGCACTTGCAACGTTAAAGGCACTCCGCTTTGCGTCGTGCTCTTAAACTCGTTGCGCGTGCTTTAAAGACTTGATTATACACTTGTATCTTAATATACTATTATTTTTAAACTTCGCTAGGCCTAGATCTTACATCCGCACGTACTTATCTACCTATATTTTTAGCGCATTTTAGCAAATTTGTAAAAAGGTAGCTTCGACAACATCTTATTGATGGTGGAGTTAACACTGGCTGATTTGATCTGATCTGCCACATAAAAATGCGCTAAAGGCCCTTCGACGTCACACACGATGACTTTGATATGTAAATCGATATGAGAAAATATTTATACCTATTTTATATTTTCTCATATCGATTACCATTCGCCCCCATTTTGTGAACTTCAATTCCAACGTTATGGACGACACTCATTTGATATGTAAATTTTTTTAACGTTAACTAATTTTTTGATTTTCATCGTTATTTTAAAGATATTTCGATAAAACCAGATATTTCTTAAACATTTAAAGATCTTTAGTAACCGATGCACTTGGAAGTCGAAATTGCAATTTATGTACATGGTACACCGCATTTTTACTAAATAAACTTGTTAGAGATAGGGGAAATCACACAGTAGGTACTTCATCGTGCAATAGAATAAACTAATAAAGTAGTATATTATATACCAAGGGACTTAAGTGTGTGTTTTAATCCCGAGGGTGCAGATAGTTGAGCGCAACAAGCACCCGAGGGATTAGGATGCAATTTAGTCCTGTGAAAGAATAAATTTGTTTGATTGACAATGTCAAATTGTGACCGTATAACGATAAATAATGTCAGTTTGATTTAAAGATTCTAGTTTAATTTAAAACTACGGCGTATAAATGATCGTTTAAAACCCTGAAGAACAAGGTATAAGGAAACCAAAACTAACTACCTTCTAAATTCAAAAAGATATATGCAAACCGGCATAATAAGAGTAAAATATGCTGCAAGAATAAAAATGTACATATAGATAAATGTAACCATTAATCATTAAATTGTGTTTGATATAAGTAATTCAGTGTGTGCTGCCACTTTTTGTTCAGCGTCGGGTTTTTCACCCTCCGGGAGAAAAAGTGACACTTTAGTCCCTTTTAAATGATTGACAAAACACGTTGATTTAGTCCATGGAGTAAAAAAAAAACCAATAAATACAACAGTCATTGAGTTAGATATCTGAATTGCTCTATTGTAATCGAACATGGTTACCCTAGTATCCGTGAATACTACGAAGGCGTAGAACGGACAAGGTAGATCAAATTATAATAATCTCGAGAAAAAAGTCGGGATTTTTATTTATGACTACAATTTTATTACAAAACACGATTACCAGTAAACAGAGTAATTAAATTAAAGTTACAATTGCAGTAGGTACTTTAAAAGTATTTACACAAAAAGAAATTCAATACTGTAATCAAATACAATTTTGTACCTATTCGAATACTTCCCAGCTCTGCTTGGAGGTGTATTGTTTTGGTTATTAATAGTAATAATAATTAACTGGTGTGCTTAATTGATTACCGACGTTATAAAATGGAGACTCGGCTCATATAACCTACAGTACCTATAAAGAAGTAGGTAGTAAATATCATATGTATGTATACGTAAAGGTGGGTGTGATTAGTTTGATGGGATTAGGCTTTTATTAAAGAAAAGATGGAAAAAGTATTAATATTGTACCTATACGCAGATTAAGTACCCATCTACCAGCGCACTTTGTTCTTAATGAAGAGAAAGTTAGAAAGTGCTAAACCTGTTGATCCTGCTCGTCGGAGCAGTGCATTTTTTCGTGTTCACAACGAAATGGGTTAAAAGGGCCAGACTAAACGATCACCAAATTTAGTTCCTGTGTATAACATTTGGTTCGACTGATAAGTTGACTTTCGACAAAAATGGCATGATTTAAATATGATTGTGAACGTTAATAATTCATAATCGGCACGAAGAAATTTTAATTGCAACGGTGTTTCGCTTTTGAAAAATACTTCTTATCGACATTCGTTTCTTAATACAGTGCGTTATCTCTTGTATTTGGCGAGATACGAAAAATTTGTGAAATATAATTTTATATGTGACATTACGATCTATCCGATCGCATATTCAAACTTTCGGTGTCACTTCCGGTTTGACCGGAAATATTTTTTCAAATGCAATGCCTATATTTTTACGATACCTATTTCAAAAGAGTAATCAATTTGCAGTATGACAACAAAATTTGCATATGGTTGATATACAAAAAAAATAGAGAAATTAGTGATTCAATATTTAGAAAATTTATAAAATTTAGCATGTCGTGTGCTGTCAGGACGTGCGGTGCCTGTTGCATTACGAAAGAAATGGGATCTGTTATCAATAAAAAAGAAAGCAACCAATATTTGCGTAATGAAGCAGCTCAGGTTGAAGTTCTTGGCCAATTTGCCATAAATCCCTCAATGTCAACATTTATAGTTTTAGTCAATTATAAAATTTTTGTTAAATTGTCTTAATCAATATCGACTTTATTGGTACCACTGGAAAGCATTTTTCAGTAGCTCTCCAACGATGTGTCACAAGTATAGGGTTGCTATTTAGGATTTTTGAAGAGAGAGGGCTGGGGGGTTAAGAGAGGGGTGGGGGGTTGTCACTCATAACGTCACTCTGGTTCCCTCTCGATACCCCCGAAACGGTTTTGCGCGATTTTCAATAACCTCTTTAGTATGGAAATTATGGCCGACTGCAAGTTTTAAAATTGACACGACGTATGTATGTAAATGTTATGTTGTCATACAGCAAATTATTGCTCTTTTGAAATATCGTAAAAATATAGGTATATTGCATTTGAAAAACGATTTCCGGTCAAACCGGAAGTTTGAATATGCGCTCGCCAAATAAAATAGATATTTCTTTCTTCAAACGCAATGTACGAATATATATTTTTTTGTCGCTCTACTTTCATTCTGGATCCCACCTATACTTCCACTTTCCACATAACATGTAGTAAATACAAGTATCGCAAGTAACAATGCGTGAAATCGATATCCATTACCGATAAATAAAAGCGCAACTGTAATGTAGATTTTGACTTTGGATGCACAATTAAGTCCTAATATTAGTACGATACGTAGAAAATTCGTTTTGTAGTTGAAAATTTTTCAACTTTTTGCGAATATTCGGATTTCATACAAAACATCCGAAATTGGTATCTATGAAAACTAGGCTTTATCGCCGCGCGTTTAGAAGTGACTACTTATATCGGCCGTATAATCGTTTTGTATATGTGCACGCACACTACTTGAACACTTTTATTGCTAAAATTGACCATCTCCCTCTGAGTATCAAGTATCAACCAACGCCACTCTTTTAGGTAGTGTTACTAGTGTCTTCAGGAAAGGGACGTTTTCCTTGATAAACTGGTATTAATGAAATATATATTTAATAAACTACTTAATTTTATTGTGCATGATCGGAATAGCTTCAACTACTGCACATTAGTGCTTTGTAATAGATAAATTATTTTTACTAGAACTCTTCCCAAGCGGATGTGAGAGAGCCAGTGTCAGATGAGAATCTCAACAGACAGCACTAATATCAACATTTTATACCACCAAAAAAGAAAAATATGTTTGTTTAAAATACCAAAATATAGGTGGAATCTCTTTCGCCAGTTTTGAGACCGAACGAACAAAACTGTTTGCGTAAAGAAATCATTTTCACACAGAACAATTTTCTGGATAAATGTATTAAATCAGTATAGAGTGTATGCCTATACAAAATGTTTTTATTTAACATTGCATGTAAACAATAAACATAGTATAGAGTTATATTTGTAAAATTTTTAATGAAAGTATAGTATGTAAAGTATTTGTAATTCACTTTTGTAGTCACTGTAACTATAGCGAAGTATATTATCTACACCAAGGCACGAAGTTGTCCACTTTTTGGTTACCTACACTGAGTGTTTTAAAAAAGAGCTGCAACGCACAAAACGAAAGTAAGTTCGTTTGGTTCTCTTTACAATCACTCAACACGTATTTGTAGATAACATTAGTTTAAATGATATTAAAAAAGAAGTTAAGTTTGTTTGTAAATCACGAATATGTAGATCACTTTTTACGTTCAACCGAAATTTCTGGGAAATATCATCATGATGTGTGCTAATACTAAACGCGTGTTTTTTTTTATTTCAAACATTGTCGATTTGGTAGTTTTTAATTATTATCGATGTATTTAATGAAAAGTATTCAAAAATATATGTACTAACTTGTAGATTTGACTTTTTTTGCCATATACACTTAGGTTATAATGAAACACTAGCGATGCGGCACTATGTAGCTTCAATGCTTCACGTAAGTATTCTTTGTGCAAATATATTTAATTGTACAGAAGGCAGATGCCATTAATTAAATAATTTTTTCAGAAAAAAAAATTACGACCCTTATCACTCGAATTGGCGTCCCCAGCAGTCTCTTCTCCTGTGCAGCAGAAAGTAAAAATCTTGGACGAAGTTGAAGTGTATGAGATTACACATCCTGAGGCCGCTAATTTTGGTTGTAGTAGTTCACGCGGCAAACGATCGCCTATAAGTAATTCCCGGCCCCCATGGCGTTATTAAGGATACCTATAAGTTGAGAGGAAGTTAGATGACAAGTAGTTAAAAGTTAGTTACCTTTTTGTCCAAAAATTATTTATTGAAAGTGGTTCTGTGTTTATTATAATATCATGTTGTGTATTAGATGGTAGATGCATTTTGCATTGATAACCTTTTTAATATTTCTCACCTCTAATACATTATGTATCGCTTCACTTATATAATCACACAATATATGCTCTATTCCGTATTTTTTCTTTACTTGTCTGCCACCAGAAAACGTAGGTTCGTATTTCATGCAGCTAACCTTCCTTGTTATTCAAATTGACGAGAAAGATTGAAAGGTGCTTCTGCATAATCAAGCCCCCGCCCCCCTCAAGTACATTCCAACACACGGACGGACTGCCAGACGGAAGTAAGGACAAAACACTAGTAATCTTGTATTTTCATTTTTAAAACGGGGCCACACACATCAGTGGTTTGAAAGTACAAAATTGGCATACGAATAAGATAATACAACTCTGGTGATTGCTCTACCATTTGCGATTCGGTTTTTTAGCGGATCTTCAGGTTGTTTTCGAGAGAATGATGTTGTTCTTTCTGAGAGAAGCAGGGGCGGACTGGGTACTTACAGGCCAGGTGGAATTGCATAGGTTACGGGTCATTAAAGTATTGGTGTAACGAAGATGGCGGGGGGGGGGGGGTTCATCACAAAAACATTTTTAACTTCACTCTCTTGTCGAAATTCTAGATATTATTTTAATTAGGATTTTAAATGAAATCTTTAATTCAACAAAAACGAATTCATTATTACTTCCCACGCATTCCGGTCATTCCATTAACTATAGTGACCAGTGTACATGGTAAAAGTGTAAACCCAACTAGAGACATTCAGGTCCAGAACACTGCAATGTATCGTTTGACAGCCGATTGTGTAATAATATTGGGATACCGAAGTGGTCTTGCCAACGAAGTAAAGCGGTCACCAGCGATCGCCGCCACCATCACAAGCACTGAAGCACAAAGTTATCGCGATACCGTAACTCATGTACGCACTTTTACCACAGTACATTCCAACACCCAACTTCGAAGTGGCGACATCATTAAATCATCCGGTAGATGTTCTGACGACTTAAATGAAAAAAGCAACTTTTAATTTCAGTGTGTGCAACGCTTATTTGTATGTCGGCAATTACAATCGATCATTTAGCCGGAAACAGAGGAAGGTCATTTATTACCCCAATGCTATACCTAGGTAGGTACCTTCCTAACAAACGCGCGAGTAGTAATAAGGAATGGTACGTGACGCTAATAAGCCCCCCAGGTACGATCATGAAATTGATAAAAATGGACAGAGGGCACCTTAATAACACGTTTAGAATAAAAAAATTTGCGGAAGAAGGCCTAAATTTTCCACAATCTTCATTAAAAGTTCACTTCATTTTCTGGAAATGTGGACCTTCTCCTTCACGTAGCCCCAAAGAAAACAATCTGTCGCTGTTAAATCGCATGAGCGAGGCGGCCAAGCTGGCTGATGATTTCGAGAGATTAGGGGGCCAGGCGGCGATTTAGAATTTTGGTAATATACCTCGATATATTTTAACACGTTACTCTGTTCTATAGCGTTCCATTGTGACTGTCAACTAAATTGTACTACATTCTACTGCTCAAATGTTTAATTTGGTGACAAAAAATGGAAACGTTCAATTACAGCAAGCATTTAACTTCCTGCGTTCCCGATGGGCGACCCTGATGTATAACTACATGTGATTGCTAGGCCAACTGTCGTGGCATTGTCTTGGTCTTGGCAACTTCTTCCAGCTGCAAGAATTTTTGTTTGGACATGTCGAATTCCGACCTCATTATGCACGTTTCAATTTGCTTACTTAAATAGCGATCATCAGGCATTTCATAAAGATCAATTGAGCAATACATACCTGGAATACAGAGTGTTTACGCACCATAGGGATTCCAATGTTAATGTCTTTATATCGAAATATTTTCTCCTCTAATTAATTTAAGGCAAAGTTGTAAATAGGTTTCTTGTAGCTTGAAAAATTCTGCATGTCCTCATTTATTATGTTCAATTCAAATCAGTGTGCTAGCCCCTCATCGTGTCCAGTTATGACCTACCTAAGATGAGCAGAAGGCACACCATGATATTTCGCAGGTTACGGATGGGACACACCAGATTAACACATGGCCATCTAATGGAAGCTAAAGACCCGCATGTGAGCATTGCAACTTACACAGTCCTGACAGTAAAGCACATCCTTATATGGACTGCCCAAAATACGCGGACATTAGAAAACGACACGACCTAAAACCAGAGCTTAGAGAAGTTCTAACAAATAGTTTCCAGAACGTTATCAATTTCCTTAAAGATGCTAATCTGTAGGTATAATTTACCGGGTGTCCACTCTCAAAGTCGAACATAGGGAATTAATATGTGTATTCAATTCGTAGTCTTTTGGCAATTATTTCTATAATACACCAATATAGTATGTTAGCAATAAAGGCTTCGAACGATTTTTATTAAAAATACACAAAAATACTAGTAAGGAAAAACAAATTAAAGTAAATATTCAAATAACCCCCCGTTTTGAGCTAAGCAATATCCCAGTCGGTTGTAAAAACTATTTCGCACATTCGCTAACTCCCTGTTAGTAATTAACGCGCATTCAGTAACTATAGCTTCTCTCAAAGAATTAATATCTGGGTGGCGTCTTTTATAAATTTTACTTTTAAGGTGTCCCCACAAGAAGAAGTCGCAAGGTGCCAAATCTGGAGATCTGGCTGGCCAATTTATGGTACCACTTCTACCAATCCAATGATTTGGAAATGAATTATTTAAAAAATGTCTAACGTTTAAACCAAAATGCGCAGGACAGCCGTCTTGTTGGAACCAGATCTCCTGATTTTCTCTTGCAACGTCTTCCAATGCGGGTCCTACCTTTGTTACCAAAAGATCTAAATAGGTTTCTGAATTTAAGTTTCCTTCAATTTCAAATGGGCCGATAATATTATGATTAAAAATCCCAGCCCAGATATTAATTTTTTGAGGATACTGAGTTCTGGTTGAAATATTAAGCCTAGGGTTTTCCTGAGCCCAATGACGTGTGTTTTGAACATTGGGTTCATTATTGAGGGTAAAGGTACACTCGTCTGTGAAGCATATCGACGATAGAAAGCGGCGATCGTTGTTAGCGCGCTCTTGTATCTCATAACAAAATGCACTCCTACTTTCTTCGTCAACATAAAAAATCTCTTGATGACATTGTGGTTTATAAGGGTGATATTTGTATTTCTTTAATATCATCCATACCCGCGACTTACATAAACCAGTTTCATGGGAAATTTGCCTCAAACTGTACGTTGGGTCTGCATTTATCATCGCCAAAACTTGCTCTTCTGTGCGGTCATCCCCTTGTCGATATCCTATGATATGATGTCATTTTAGAACATGTTTTAAAATAAAATTTGTAATGCTCACCACCCCTACTTTCTGATTCTACTGAAATATTTGCCTGATTTTCAAATTTTTCTACATATTTTTGTATGGTACTTGCTGATGGTATCGGTCTCGTATTAAACGCAACGGCAAACAAATCTCGAACTCTTCGCAAACTAACACCGCTATAAAAGGTTTTTACCATAAAAACTCTTTCTTCGTTGGTATAATTATTCATCTTTCCGTAAATTCAGTTTCACAAAAGCGTAAACGTCAAATTTTTATTGATAAACAAACTGTTTCAAGCCTACTATGTTTTGGAAAATACTGTCGAATTTTTAATCAAAACGATTTAAAATTTTTCATTACAATTTCAATTTTTAGTCTTGTTGTTAGTATCAGTGGATGCGCAATAATTTTCTCTTTCCAATGATACCATTACCTTTTCTGTAGAATAAGTTGGCGAGCAGAAATCCGCAAAAACGTTCAACTCCATGTTAAATCCCTATGTTCGAGTTTGAGAACGGACACACGGTATATAGTCTAATGTAAAATGTAAATTTTTCGTCAATTTTCATTTTCTGTTCATTTTTGTGTTTTGTAACTTACTGTTCTAAATTAATTACTTATAACATGTGCCAATGGCCTATGGTTGTCGAGGCACTCAAACCAAATAAAAAAAATAAAAAATTAGCAAATGCCAGAAGAGCGTTTTATGACAGCTTAGCAAATTATTTAACCGCGAATGGTGACTTATTTGAGCATTTTTTAAATAAACTGTTTTGTGATCTCCTAGTTATTTGATAATTTGAAAGTTTTTGATAAAAAAGGAAATTATCCCGGAGCGAGTTTTCCGAAGGTTTTCACTATTTAGGGTGAATGGTATTTGTAGGCGAGATTTCGTAGACGAATTTCCGGAGCAAACTTTCGGCGGAGGATTAAAAAAATGAAATCAGTATATAAAATCTATATTTGATGATGAAAGATGATCTCCGGAATAACAATAGAGTGGATAACGGCTTATAAAATATGAGGTGGATGATACCTACTTTGTGAAGAAAGAAAAAAAACTGCTAAAGATAATGCATTCTATGACTAATGATGGATACCTACTCGTACTCGGATTGAACTACGAACCAAATTTAGATTAGCAGAGTTACTTATCTTACAAAAATGTGTACTTGAAAATCCCAACCTATTCTATTTTGAAACACAAGCACGCGTTGGCTTGGAATAATCAGGTCAGAAAATAGAGTTCAAGTAACGCCATCTACTTTAATAAAACCTCTGAAAATGAAAGCTCGGGGCCCCATTTCTCGCCCAACGTGCAAGAAGCCAAGTTTGCAGACTCATCACATATACAATGGTATGTGTATAATTTTTTTTTATATTGCACCTACAGACATTTAATTTGCTTTAGGCGGACCTCAGCGCGCGTGATGTAGAAAGTGAGTACCTACTTATTTATGTTATATTTCCTTTTTTCCAATTTTATTTGATCTGATCATTTAGGGTGTCTATTTTTAGCCCGTGCGCGCTTATAAGGCGCGTGCTAAAAATATCGAAATGTAATATATAGGTAATACTTCTTACATTACAGGGGCGGAATTTGTATTCTCCATTTATGACTTTGAAGGAAACGGCACCTGCGATGCCGTGAATTTAGGTGACATGCTACGCGCCCTTAACCAAAATCCCACTTTAGCACTCATTGAGAAATTGGGCGGAACGAAAAAGAAAAGTACACAATTATCTTGCGCCATCAATATTTAAATAAACATATTCGTTGTTACAGATGAGAAAAAAATGAAATTAGACGAATTTCTCCCAATTTATAGTCAGGTAAAAAAAGAAAAAGAACAAGGAACTTTCGAAGATTTCTTGGAGTGCCTGAAACTGTACGATAAAGAAGAAAATGGCACAATGATGGCTGCAGAACTTGGACACATTTTACTTTCTCTCGGTGAGGGCCTAACAGATGATGAATGCAAAGAATTACTCGATGACTGCATGGGAGAACCGGACGAAGACGGATTTGTGCCATTTGAACGTAAGTAATCTATACACGCACTTCTCTATGTAAAATATCAAAATGTGAACGAGCCGATGAAATTTTTAGCATTTCTTAAGAAGATGATGGCGTAATCGGTACCTTTGTTGTAAGTAAAAAATTCTTATACGGTCGCTCGCTTCGCACTTCGTTTACCTATACCTTCCCTTTCACTTGACGCATTTTGCTTTAGCATTTTTTCACGATGCTCAGATCTAACTGGAATTGTATTTTTAGCTCAACTTACATCATGGAGTGTACCTGCCGAAAAAGAAACATTCAAACAATTCAACCTAGAGGGACGTTGTTACCGTCTTTTTCCTCCGTCTGTTACCTTAATTTTAAAGGACAAATCCATTATTTTTACGTTATCATGGAAAATATTAATGGCGTTAATTGTATTACATATTAATAATAAAATGTATAAATTCGACGTTGCATTAGTGTCAAAATAGCCTACGCTAAAAACAGATCGTGACCCACTCACGCACGCACGCATACGTTGGCAGAGGTACATACCGGGTGGTGCACGGTAAGTAGGAACATAGGGAAATTAGTTTTATGCAATATCCTGCCCTCCTGTACATTTTACAGAAATAACTGCAGAGTTGTTCAGAATTAAAAGGTGCATACAAAACTGTTTTTACATGTTTTATTAAGCTTTTGGTATACCCGCAAATTTAACAATAAAATTCAAAATTCCTGTTATTAGTATGCATTAGCCATGACTTTTGTTGTTTTATGAATTGCTACGAATAACAGAAATGTTGAAATTTATTTTTAAAAGTTTTGTATGCACCTTTTAAATCTGAACACCTTTAAACTCTACAGTTTTTTCTGTAAAACTGTACTGGACATCGAGGATACCAAATAGAACGACATAGCGTCTTTCACAGTTAAGTTCAGGGTATACCATCCGCAGATGTATAAAGTTGCATATGTTGAAGGCTGGTGCGAAGAAACTAAGAAAACATTGGGAGATCAGATAAAAGATCTCATTTGTTCTAAATGTGCAAACAGATAGGTAATTACCACACAAAATGGAGATATACTCAAACTACACTGAAAAATTCATACTAGAGATTTGGTCGCCCAAACTTTGTAAAACACTAAAAAAGAATTAAAGCGTTACGGTATTACATATCACATTTTAATTTTCTCCATTACAAAATTGAAAAGCTCACCATATTTATAACTCTCGCCAGGAAAGACTGCCGGTCACAGAACACTTGATCCCGATCTACAATCTGTGTTTTTCGTAAGGTGCTAGCGACTTCCGGGATAGTATCGTGTCAATGTTGAACGAAAAGACTTTTTGTTCAACATTAGCACGATCCTATTCCAGAAGTCGCTCGCATCTTAATAAAAACAAAGATTGTAAATCGACACAAGGTGTGCTGTGACCGGCAATCTTTCCTGGCGAGAGTTATATGTAGATGATGTCATAGATTTAAATTAAAACAAAATATACCTAGGCGCCACAACCATTTCATACTTACTTAATTATTTTGATCGGAAAAAATGCTATTAGCAATGCAATATAAGTATTATTTTTAATCGAGTTCAATTAGATACCTACATTAAAAAGTGGGGAAAGTAACTAAATAAGTAGGTTATAGTAGGTAGATACTTACCGTCCTCAGTAAAAAAAATGTTATTCAAACACGGATTATATAGGAATTTGATCAAACAGTACTTAATGGAAACTCGTAATATAACGATGTATACACATTTTAATGCAATTTCAAATACATAATCAAAAAAAAGGTGAAATGTCGCTTCTAAAAGTCCAGCTAATGTCTTACACGTAGTTTACCTGTAAGTTCATCTGACCATGATTATAGTGGGAAGTAGTTCGTCTTTTGATGGTTATATAATACGTACTTTGTTTTGGATCACGTCCGTTCGCACATCTTCTTGAGAAATGCTGAAACGAAGTGAATTAAAACTATTTGCATGAATCATTACCAGTTTGATTTGATTTTAAAGCTAGTGGCAAATTTCGCTTACGGGCGTACTCAATTTGACCCTCGTCATCTTCTTCCCCCATGCAATCTTCAAATAAGGTGTCCACTTCCGCTTCCGATAATTTTTCACCTACAAATGTGTATAGAAATAAAGTAAATAATAAAATTCAAATTATCAACCTAACGCCATAAGTGCGTGATGAAGTTCCGCCACCATCATTTTACCGTCTTCCGCTTTATCATACAATTTCAGGCATTCAATGAAGTCCTCGTAACATCCTTGATCCTTTTTTTCTTTCTTACAATCACTAAATATCGGTAAAAATTCTTCAAATTTGAATTTTTTTTCACCTGCATTATTGAAGCTCTGTTTCTGATACTTGGCAAGTTTGTGAAGTTTACGTACCTTTCTTTTTAGTAGCTCCCAACTTTTCCAAAGATTCCAGGCTGGGGTTTAACTGAAGGGCACGTAGAACTTTTCCTAACATGGTTCCATCCAAAACGCCATCATCCGCATATATGTCAAAGGCAAACTCTGCGTCTAAATTATGATGTCAAAAGAAATTATACCAAAATCAAAAACCAAATTACCTTCAATTTCTCTCTCTTTAAGATCTGCCTGCAATTAAATATAACTACAATATAGTATATTACGTCGTCATAAGGTTGCAACAGAGCGAATTACAGGTGAGTACAAAAATTAATTAAAAACGGGCACCTAAACACCACTCACCATTTTGTAGGAATGATTGAATGACAACTGGACAATTGAATACCTGCAGCGTTAAAGGTACTTATAGACTCTTAATTATACGCATTGCACCAGTCTAAAAGCGTAACGGAAGAGAGTAGAGGGAAATTTCTAATTATCGACACGTCCCAACAACAGATTGAAATTTGAGATCACCTCAATGCCAAATATGTATGCGTACGGGTTAACTTTTAATCAAGGATAGTTATTTATGTATTAAGTGCAGTACGAGAACGTTTATGCCCTCCCGAGGGCGACACGCTTACAACAAGCCCTCGGGCCAGTTGTAAGTCGTCCGAGGGTATACATCAAGTAATACCCGTGGTACATACAAACTTTTTATGTCATAGGTACTAGCGGTTATAGATAATTGTAAGAAATATTAGATTCAATTTAGGACGAGTGGGGGTAGTCTGTGAACGCCGCTATGTTTAGGGGACAGCAATTGCCGATTTCAACAAGCGAATTGGGGCGTCCAAAGTGAGTTGCGGGGGACATAAACGCGGTCTCTCCGGCATGGGGCGCTGGATCGTCCAACAATAGGAGCGAAATCATTACCGAATGGGCCGAGACGCCGATTATAATACAGGTTCGAGATCGATTTATGAGCAGGGTACGCGCCGATAAATTGTCGATGTTACCTTCTGCTCACAAAGGCTACTCGCCTATAAAGGTTGGGAAGAAGGATTGTGAAACGTTAAGCGATCCTAAATATATAGCGTGGGAGTGTAGGTTGGGGTGGCTACGCAATCGGGTGCCAGTACAAGCCATAATAAACTTTAGAGGGTGGAATTTTGGTGCTATCCGAGGTGTGGAGGGATACATATGGATATGATTTGTTCAGGGACATTAGCGGCCTACTAGGTAGTTATAATCACTAGGGATTATGGGTTCTGCTCTATGGGTTGGAAGTCTGGTGCCCAGCGATGTAGTGGGGGGCGGCCAAAGCTAGAGTGGAGCAGGTGACGCGGCTGTTGGCCGTGAAGGTTTGCAGCGCATACCGCACCGTTAACCTGGAAGATGTGATGGTAGTCGCAGGACTAACCTCGGCGCGATTGTAGGATGATTCGCCCCCGAAAATTCGCCCCTGAAAATTCGCCCCCGGTATATTCGCCCCCAAGAAAACTTGCCCCCAAGTAAATTCGCCCCCGGACTATTCGCCTCCGTAAGATTCGCCCCAGGAAATTCGCCCCGGAAAACTCGCCCCCAAGAAAACTCGCCCCCGGACTATTCGCCTCCGTAAGATTCGCCCCAGAAAGATTCGCCCCGGAAAATTCGCCCCCGGCAAGTTCGTTCCCGACAAATTCGCTTCTGAAAGATTCGCCCCCGGTGATTCCGCTCCCGTAGGATTCGCCCCATAAGATTTATTAATCCTCAGAGGTAACAGGGCCAGCAGTTCATAAAATGAATTTTGGTTAATTTTTTTTTTTGTAATAACTGGTATACCTAAATAAAGGGGGTAGAATACTAGCACTCAAATACCTGTTAACTAAAATATGAATAGGTAATTAAGATAAGGATGAATAAAGTAAGGGTGATTTGCAAAGGAATTGACATCCAAAGGAAATAAATCCTATATTCACAATGATTTAATGACTTCTATTATTTCAGACATGACATAAGTTTAGGTTAGTTTAGGTTAGGTTAGGTTAGGTTAGGTTAGGTTAGGTTAGGTTAGGTTAGGTTAGGTTAGGTTAGGTTAGGTTGCCGAGCCGGTTCTTTCTAAGATCAAGGCCGCAATTAGCGATCGGGAGGTAACCCTGCTGGAGGACAACTGCACGCTTGTGGTTAGGGACCTCGACGCCGTCACAACGGAGAATGAGGTATTGGGTGCCATCATCCAAACGGTGTCAGGAGCAAGATGCAGGATTAAGAGCATGATTACGGTTGAGAGAGGGCAGAAGGTGGCGTACGTCCACGCCAACCGCGAAGCGGCGGAGGAAATACTGGCACGGGGGTACCTGCTCGTGGGGCTAACCTCATGTAGGGTGAGGATTAGCCAGGACCTAGTGCGGTGCAACCGATGCTGGGAGATTGGGCACATCGCGGACGCGTGCAGGGGGAGGACCGCAGGGCGCAATGCTATAATTGCGGGAACGCCGGACACTATGCGCGGGAGTGCAGTAACGAAGCAACGTGCAAAAGATGCGAGGGACTGGCGAAGGGCCTGGGGGTCGGGCACAGGGCCTACACAAGGCAGTGCATGTTTGAGACAAGGAAATCGGAAATGGCGGAGACGATGGCCAGCGGATCACAGGGTGGCGATACCTCGGCACGACAGGGTGTGGCTATCGGGCAAGAGGTTGAGAATCAAGACCGGGACATAGAAGAGCAAGTAGATCATGCTTAGAGTGATTCAGGTGAATTTGCACAACATGGGGGAAGCGTTGGACCTGGCCGTGCAAAAAGCTCAGGAGACACGAAGGGACCTTCTAGTTCTCGCTGAGTACGGTAGTGCGCGCGCGAGCGGAGGGATGTTTGTGGACCTGAGCGGCAAGGCCGCGATCATGTGTGTAAACGCGAGCATTGGTGCGGACCGTGTAGGCGAGGGCAGGGGATTTGTGTGGATACAAACCCAGGGTGTATATGTGTACAGTGTCTATTTCCCACCGAACGAGAGCGATTTTGAGCTCGAAGGTAAACTAAATGACATCGCGGACTCTATTAAACGCATTGGTGCAACCAAAGTGATTATCGCGGGGGACATAAACGCGGCCTCTCCAGCATGGGGCGCCCGTTCGTCTAACAACAGGGGCGAAATTATTATGGAATGGCTAGAGACATTGAACCTGGTAGTGGTAAATACAGGCTCGAAGCCGACCTTCGAACAGGGGACGCGCCAATCAATCGTCGACGTTACCCTTTGCTCACAAAGGTTACTTAACGAATTTGCAGAGTGGGAAGTGCTAGAAGACGAGACATTAAGCGACCACAAATACGTAGCATGGGAGGTCAGGCCGAGGCTGCTGCGAAACCGAGCGCCTTTGCATACTTATAAAAGCTTTCGGGGCTGGAATAGCAACAAAATTGACCGAAACAAACTGGAGAGGTGCTTGCAGGAAGTAGACGGGGAAAAAATTACAGATGTGGACAAGCTGAGCGGGTTACTACGCGAAATTTGCCGCAGAGTCATGCCTCTCAAAAAAGCCGGCAGGAAGTCGCAGTTCTGGTGGAACGACGACATCGCTCACCAGCGGGAGATTTGCGGGCGATGCAGAAGAGCCTACCAGCGAAGGAGGAGAAGGGGCGATAGTGCGGATAACGAGAGAGCCAATCTGAGGGAGGAGAGAAAGGAACTAAAAAGGATGATAGCCGAGAGTAAAAAGAGCTGTTGGAAGGAGCTTTGCCAAGACGTGGACAGAGACGTATGGGGAAAAGGCTACCAAATCGTAACTAAAAAGATCGCCAAGCGCACCATAAAGGTTGGCTGGAACGACGAAGCTCTCGAGGCGGAGGTAAGAAGGCTCTTCCCTGAGCATCCAAGATTGGAACCGTTTCCGGAGGGAGAAAGACCGCCCCCGCACGATCACGTGACGACCGAGGAAATAGCGATGGCCGCGAGACAGTTGCCTAATAGAAAGGCTCCGGGACCAGACTATGTGCCGGCACCAATTGTGAAAGCTTTAGCTCTGGAAAAACCCGGCATATACAGGAAGATAATAGACGACTGCATACGCGACGGCGTATACCCGGAGGGGTGGAAACGCTCAAAGTTGGTGTTGATCCCGAAGGCGGCAGGCTCCTACAGGCCGATTAGTCTACTGGACTTTTCCGGGAAGCTAGCGGAAAAGGTGATAAAGAACCGGATTAGCGCGGAGGTAGAGGACAGGCTGTCAAAGAGACAATATGGTTTCAGGAAAGGTCGATCCACCATCGACGCAGTACGCGAGATAGTGGCGCAAGTCCAGGCAGCAAACAGAGGGACGTGGAGGACGAGGCAGGTCTGCATAGTGGCATCCCTCGACGTCCAAAACGCCTTTAACTCGGCAAGGAGGGAATCAATCTTGGAGGCCATGACGGAGCAGGGGGTCTCCGCGGGACTCACGCGGGTGATAAGAAGCTATCTCACGGACAGGCAGGTGGAAGTGGAAAAACCGTCGGGCGAGGTTTGGAAGTTCGTCGATAGTGCGGGAGTGCCGCAGGGGTCCGTTTTGGGGCCACTGCTGTGGGTCTTATTGTACGACGGCGTGCTTCGAATCCAACACGAGGAGGGTGTAGAAGTGTTCGGGTTCGCAGACGATTTGACGGTAGTGGCAAGAGGACGTGACGTGGACGAGACCGGGCGAAGGATACAGCGGACAATCCAGAACATCGCGGCCTGGATGGAGCAAAGAAGCTTGACTCTGGTGCCCGAGAAAACCAAGGTGGCCATGATGACCGGGAAGAGGAGGATCGGCCAATTCACGCTGGAAGTGCTCGGCGAGAGGATGATTGCGGAAAAGAGCATTAAAATCCTCGGAATCACGATAGACAAGTGTCTACACTTTACGGAGCACGCCCGCGGCGTATGCGGAAAAGCAATCAGGTGCTACGAGGCTCTTAAAAAGATACTGCCCAATACGGGAGGCGCTCGTGCAACAAAAAGGAAGGTGCTGGCGGCGGCTGTCATGTCAATCGTGCTGTACGGATCCGAAGTCTGGGGATCCGCCATGAAGTGGGGCGTAGCGGCGAATATGACCGATAGAGTCACAAGGTTATTAGCAGTGTCAATTGCGAGCGGGTACCGAACGGTCCAGTCGGACGATATCATGGTAATAGCCGCCCTTCCACCAGGACAGCTTATGGTAAGAGCAAGGATGGAAGGATGGGACAAAGCGCGATTGAACCAGGAATGGCAAGAGAGATGGGAGCGGAGGCAGTCCTGGACCAGGAAGCTCATCCCGAACCTGGACAACTGGGTCGACAGGCTGCACGGAGAAGTGGGCTATCACCTGACCCAATTCTTGACGGGACACGGGGAAAATGCCGTGTACTTACTGCGGATAGGGAAACGCGATAGTGACGAGTGTGTGGACTGCGGAGATAGAGACACGGAGGGACATGCCGTATTTGAATGCCAGAGATGGACAAGAGGCAGAATAGAGACCGAGACAGAAGTGGCAGCAAGCCTACAGCCGGAAAACATCATCCAGTTGATGATAGAGAGCGAGAACAAGTGGACCAAAATCGCGCGGTTCGTGATCACCGTAGTCCAAACTAGGGAGAGGGAGGCATGGACTAGGGGTCAATAGACGGGTAATACAATATAACTATGGCTACATCTATGGGGACGAACACCTACCCCGGCCGTTCGGCATAGCGAGGAATGCTAGCGCGGTGCCCTATGCCGACAACTATGGCGAGTGACTACGAGTCGAAGGAGGATAGGGTTTTAGTGGGTAAACCTTACCTAGATGGAAGGGAGTCCCACACACCCCCCCGCATAGAGCCAAGCGGGGGCAGCCTATAAAAGGTTTCCCAAACCTCATTAAAAAAAAAAAAAAAAAAGGTTAGGTTAGGTTAGGTTAGGTTAGGTTAGGTTAGGTTAGGTTAGCGAAGTTTCGAGGCGAACGGACGCGTTTTCGCGAGCTCCGGAGCGTTTTAAATTAGTGGCGTTGAGTTTTTGTGCGGCAAATTTGCGAGTGGTACCGTTGGATGCGCGCTTAAAAACCGAATCCAACGGAGCAAAAATTACGTGGATCGGACCAGTGGTTCGGGAGTTACAAATTTTTTAAGTTTTCTTTAAGCTTATTTTGGAAAACCCGTTATCAATTGGGACCTCGTGGCAGTGAAATTGGTAACCGAGAGGGCGATAACATCAGGGAGACTATCAGAAGGTAGGACTAGGTGCAAGGAGTCCAACCCGCACCGGGACGCCCTTATCGGCCCACGCCTTTAGGTGCTACCGGCCTATCAAATTTTCGGCGATAGCGACAGATAGGCGTTTGGCGGCGGAAGGGGGGGCGGTAACGGGCCGGGACAAAATTCGGCGGATACGGCTTGAAAAGACGAGTATTTGGACACCCCACACGAGGGGGTAGCGACGACCCCTACGCACGGGGGTGGTAGCAGCCACGTGTTTTGGGGGTGCGGAAGGAGGGCTGCGGTGTGCCTGGAGTGATTGCGGTAGCCTAGTACAGGTAGGCGTGAACACGTGTAGTGTTTTTCAGCGTTATCGCGTCGCACGTGTGGGCGCGATAGCGTTATCTGTTTTGTGCGTGTCAGGAACAGATAGGGTGCTAGACGGTGAACGAGTGTTCGGATCGGATCGGGACAAAGTGCGTGAGGTTCGGGGTGAAAACCCGCGTCTTTCGACACCCCACTCGGGGGGGTGGGAGCAACCCCTGCGCGTCGCGTTAACGGGGGCGTAGGACTTTTGTATATAGTAGATTAGTTAGGCGTAAGACCATCCGCGAGGTGAACTTTTGTAAATATTAGTTAGGTTTAGCTAGGATTTGGACGAATTGTGCGGGGTAAATAGGACTCTTGGGTACTTCGTGCATTTATTAGAATTAGGGATAGTTCGTGTACATAGTAGGGTAGTGTGGACGCTTTTGCGCCAAGATGAGCGGATCGGAGGGATACGCGTTTGGGGAGGGCCGACCGAAGGTTCTACGGACGCCACCACCGGGGCAATATGCTAGCGGCGGTGGAAACAAAGGGGACGAATACAGGAGCGACGAGGTGGTGCCTGAAACACCTCTAGCAGGACCTGTCAGGAGACCCAGTAGTAGGAAGAGGAATGACAGTTCCTCGACCGACGAGGAGACTGTCCAGCTTGTGAGGCCCAAAAAACAGAGGCGAAGGGCGGACGAAGAGGAGGAGACGGTTCTGGTGTCCCCCAGGTCGGCCGCTACCGACTTGGGTGACATCAGAAAGATGCAGACTGAGGAGTCGATGATGGAAGGCGACGTAAGGCTGGCCATCGACGAGGCGATGGGATTTATTCGTGGTTCGACGAATACCAACAAGCGGCTGAAGGAGATGACGTGGAGGATCAGCGAGAAGTTCGCGGCCCTAGAAAACCATAGGACCATGATCGAGCGCAGGTGGAGTTCTTACGTGAGGGCCTTGAAGGTGGCGGCAGTGAAAGGACAAACGGCGGTGGTCAGGGTGCCCCAGGTTGGACCAGTTGTGGTGGCGCCGAGAGCGACGAAGGAGAGCCAGGTACAGACGGCGAGGGAGATGGAGAAAATTGAGGTGACAACCCAGACGAGTCCTCACAAAACGTACGCGGAAGCGATAGGCCAGGAAGGACCGAAGGCCGGGTCGAGTGGAGAAGCCGCCCTAAGGATTGCTGAGATTAACAGGCAGAGGGCGAAGAATCTCAAGTTCGTAGACCGCGAGACGACAGACGCCGCTGGTACGGAAACGGAGGGGGAGTGGCAGCGGGTAAGGAAAAGAAGACAGAAGAGCAAAGTTGACCCATCGAGCGGCAGCGAGGGAACTACGACAGCGGCAAATGTCAGAAGGAGACCGAGACCGGAGGCGGTGCTGATCAAGCTGAAGGGGGAGAACGGCATGGAGGAAGTGCTGAGACGGGTCAGGAAGGTAGACATGACGGGGGTCAGTACCAGGATAGAAGGCATAACAAAGACACGGACGGGTGATATACTCCTGCGGGTGGAGAGAGGGGCGGGAAAGGCAGCGCCGGTGCTGAATACGATTAAGGCCGCCATTACGGACCGGGAAGTGATGCTCCTTGAGGAGAACTGTAAGCTGGCCGTGCGGGATCTGGACGCCGTGACTACAAAGGAGGAAGTGCTCGAGGCCATACTGAGAGTGGAGCCGAAGGCTAGGTGTCGGATGAAGACGATGGTGGAAACCGAGAGAGGGCAGATGGTGGCGTATGTTTTCGTCGACCGGAAAACGGCGGATGCGATCACTAGAGCAGGTTTCCTCAGGGTTGGCCTGACGTCGTGCAGGGTGAGAGTGCTGGCGGAGCAGGCGCGATGCATAAGATGTTGGGAAGTAGGGCACATAGCGGCAAAGTGTACGGGCGTGGATAGGAGCCGCATGTGTTTTAAGTGCGGGAAGGCGGGGCACCAGGTCAGGGAGTGCGCGGGTGAAAACGAATGTTTTGTGTGTGAGGGAGTTCAGCCGGGTACTGGCAAGGGACATAGGGCGTACACGACGGGGTGCCCGCACGACAAGAGACGGGTGGGGGTGGCGCCAAACCCCGTAGTGAAGGAGGTGACGCTTGTGAGTGAAGGCGAGGATGCACAAGAGGAAGGACGGCAAATAGACTACGCACGTAATGATTAAGGTTCTCCAGATCAATCTTAATAATAGTAGAGTGGCCTTGGACATGGCGGGGATAGTAGCAAGAGAAGTGGGGGCGGAGGTACTTGTGTTCTCGGAGGTAGGACCGGACACTAGGGGGATGCGTGTGTTCAGGGACGTGACAGGTGCGGCAGGGATAATGGTGACAGGTGGAGTGATTGTGGACAAAGTTGGACAGGGTGTGGGATATGTGTGGGCGTTAGTCGGGGGTATTTATGTTTACAGCATGTACCTACCTCCTAACGATGCAATAGCGCAGTTAGAGGGACGGCTGGACGATCTTGGGGAGATCATTAGGATTAATGGACGTGGCAGGGCTATAGTGGCAGGGGACGTCAATGCTGCATCCCCCATGTGGGGAGCACCACGTACGAATGTCAGGGGAGAGATTGTCGAGGAATGGGCCTGGTCGTTAGGTTTGGTGTGCGTGAATAAGGGAAACGTGCCCACATTCCAGGGAAGAGGCAAAGGGACAATTATTGATATCACGCTGATATCGGACGAGATGAGTCACTTAGTGACGGAGTGGCTAGTGTTAGATGTGGACTCAATGAGCGATCACAACTACATAGTGTGGGGGGTTAGAAGTGATACAGGGACAGTAGTCGAGCAGGTGCAACGGGCCGATAGTAGCGGACCTTGGAATGCAAG